CCCCTAGACATCCTGAGCTCCTCCCTCGCACGTGATCATATAGCTTATACATACATAAGTAAGGCCATGTATTTATAAACTTTGAAAGTGCCTCAGTTCTCGAGAAATGCTGCTGACCATCAAACCAGCAATTTGCCGTTGAGCGCCATAGCTGGGTACTTGAACTACGGCAGGCTACAAAAATAAAGTAATAGGTTGTAAAAGAATTAATACAAGTGTTTCACATGTCTTTTTCAAGGTGCTGGCTCAAAGCAAAGATTCATGTTCTACTTCCATTCCATGCTCTAATAAAGCTACGCATATCTTCTGAAAGCAATCATCTTCTTGTTTCTTAGGCATGCTTTCGCTTTAAGAGGATTGAGTTTCATGTACAATCTTGCTTTTAACATCAAAGGATTAAACCTTGAGTTTTTTCGGTACTTTTCCGTTATCCGGACCCATTTTTTCAAAGAAAGATATTGCTTCTATCCTTGTACCATATTTTGTCCCAGCTTCACAGGAAGGAGTGTCAACCCTCTGCCACGTGTTATTGACAAGAAAAACACAAAAATTGACATGTCATCTACATGTTTAACAGGTTTTACCAAGAGTTTGTGTTATCCTACCTAGCGATGTAGTTTCAATCTGTTTTTTAGTTAATTTTGACCTCATTTCGATCAAACAGTTTCAAAATGAACATTGTCATAATAACGACGGTATACTATCATCGATGTACAGTCTAGCTTGCTCGGAATAGAGAAATTCGATAGGATTCCGTCATTTAAGAGGCGAGATAAGCAGCAGCATAGTGCTTTAAGCTATCATTTATAGCATTTTCTGGCTAAATTCGCATGGTGAAAATGGTTTGAAGAGAAAGACATTTTTGATCATTGCTGAAAGCAAACAAGATGTTCTAAAATAAGTTTATGATTGTTTGCTCTTATGCAGACAGTCGAACAGCTTCAAAATGATCACAAATTCTCTTTTATCTCATCGAAAATGATTTCGAAAAAAAAACATGTCAAAATCAACCAACAAGTCCATTTTTTCGTAACACGTGGCAAGAAGGCAGCCACCGTAGATTTTATGAAAAATTATTCTTAGACTAAAGAACGTATAATATGAGAGGCTTTTGTAAAAATGGGTCCGGATAACGGAAAAGTACCGTTTTTTCTTCTCACGCTCTTTGATTTAAATCCACCCGCGGAAAATCGAAGTTTTGTTGCAGATTGGCGTAACGTTTGTATGTGATCTGTGCTACAAATGCACAGTGAAGCAAATATTTTGAAAGTTTCCAGACTGAAATTTCATTTCAAATCCAAACAACCGCTGCTATCATTCTGCGGCGTATATAAGTCCCAAGTGCGAAGCAAATGCATAGCTTTCTCGTGAGCAGAAAGAATAGACAGGACATTCGATAGCGAGAAAACTGGAAGCTGTCATTCTCTTTGCTGGCTAGAAATCTCAAAAAACAGCAAAAAAGGCGCTTTTTCGATTTTTCAGAGCAGTTGGGAAGAATGAGTGATTACAAATTTTTTGCAATATTTTTTAGCAAAGCTCTTCTCATAAGATTCAAGCTTAACACGCTGCACAACCTACTGTTGTCTGCGCAATAAGTGAAATTTGCACCTACCACCTATATTGTGTATTCATGGTCTCTCAAACTGAAGGATTTTCAAAAAACTTTTGGCAGTCTTCGAGCTATAAATTCTTTCTCATGAAGCTACAACGACATAGTGGTGCCTAATAAGTCGTCTAAAGTGGGCTGATTGCAATAGTTTTTATTGGAAACGGATTGACTATTTCTGAAAAAAAAACTTATAGATCCAAATTCAAAATATGGAAAACATGTATTAGTTCTATTACCACCTAATAGTAGGTTGTAACATAAGTCTCGTTACACTCTAACTTTACTAACTGCGATAACTCATTTCACATTTTTATAGGAGCCCAAGCTACCTTTCGATAGAGCAAAGCAGGCTCTACAAGATGATATGCAAAGTTTGCACCAACTTCGCTCACTGTAAGTTTGCATCAAGAATCTGAGTATTGAGGGCTCAAAAAATCGCGAAAAATTCATATCTTCAAAATCCCATGAAATTTGAACTGCTCACAAAAATTGCACAAAACATCAGACGCTCACAAGTACCGTTCCTATCTCTTCCTCACCTATCAAGAAGACGACAATTTTCATATTTATACAAAAACGAAGCCATGCTGTTTCCACTCACGTAATTGCATACTACAAGCCAAAAGGAGTGTAACCGTAGATTTCCAGTTTTTCACAGGCTTTATTCTCGAAAATTACCAAATTTAGCTTCCTTCACTCGTTTGTTCCACGCTAAGATCAATATTTCTCAAAAACTAGAGCTTGTGGAAAGTTGAAAATTTACGGCTATACTCCTAAGGGATTGTAGTATGCAGTTACATGAGTGGAATCAGCACAGCATCGTTTTTATATGAACATGGAAGTTTTCGTTTTCTCATTTTCCATATGAAGAAAAGATATAGAATTGATACACGAAAGTGTCTGAAGTTTCGTGTAATTTTTGTGAGCAAATTGGAGATTAATAGGAATTTGAAGACATGAATTTTTCGCGATTTTTTCAGCCTTTATCGTCATGTAGAGCTTGCTTTGCTCTACCGAATGGTGCTCTGGAGAACTATTGAAAATGTGATGCGTACGATTTATCGCCGTAATGTTTCTCAACAAGACTCATGTTACAACCTAGTATAGGTGGGACCAAAAGTTCATTGCCAGTTTTTCAAAAAATCATAGCTTTCTTTCGACGCGAGGGATCTCTTTGAGTGTATACCAATCTCAAAGAGGAAACTGTTTTCTTTACAGCAGTAACTTTGCCACGAATTGGCATAAGAAAGTTCGAGGGTTGAAGGCAATTGAAGAAAATTCAAGAGTGGCATTTTCAAGCAGGGTCACAAAACATTATTGTGAAAGTATTTTGTTGGATAGAGAAAATTTTGCTCTTTAATATAGTGCCTTTCCACGGATTAAAACGATAAAGATTGGGAATTAGAAACAAATAAAAGGAGTTACTTCTGTTTTGCAATTTGATGCATACTCAAAAAAAAAGCCCAAAAACGTCACAGAAAAGGCGGGAAAGTCATGAACATGGCTTTTTTACCTTCTCTTTCTAGATGAGAGAACTTCGTGCCAATCAAGAGCAAACTTGATTCTCGTATATTTCCGTGTTTTCGGGTCTGCGTTTTTCTCAAAATCAAAATTGCTCTCGATTGGCACGAATTTCTCCCAGCTGGAAAGAGAAAGCCACAAAACCCATGTTCATGACTCTTCTGTCTTTTCCTTAAGTTTTTGAGCTTTTCGAGCATGCTCAAGAATTGCAAAACTAAAGTATTTTTAATTGCTTCTAATTCTCAATCTTTATCGTTTTAATCCGTGAAAAATGCACCATAGTAAAGAGCATAATTTTCTATATTGAAAAAAAAAACACTTTCAGAAACTCTGTGATCTTGCTTAAAAATGCCAGTCTTGAGTAGTTTTCTTCAATTGCTTCTAATTCTCGAACTTCTCATGTCATTTCAGGGCAAAGGTGCTACTTTGAAGAGAGTGGTTTCTTTTTCTAGGCAAATATAAATTCAAAGAGATCTATCAAGTCGAAAAGAAGTTATGATTTTTTGAAAAGGCGGACGACTTTTTGGTCCCATCCCACCTAATATTTCGAAGAGCTGGCATTTTTAGCGCCCATCATATTCGTAAGGCATGCTGACAAGATCGTTTAGATTGAGGTTTGAGCCTCCTGAGATAGAACACACAAAAAGAAGATAAATTTGACGATTGAATGGTAGAAGCTAAGGCACCCTCCTCTTTCCGACATCCTGTATTTGTGCTCTCAAATTTTTGCGAGTATCGTTTCATCACTACCTACAAAGCTGACTTCTGTGCTACGGTATACCTATCGCGCAGTGGCGGTCCCAGGCTTTTCGTTCGGGAGGAGGGAGGGGACAAGAGTTTTTCTGAAGGTGCATGGCCTTGGCCACGCAGTCTGAAAAGTTTTTAGGGGTGGTTCTGAAAGTTTTTTTCGGGCCCACGACCACGAAATTTCAGAGAAAGGTGGACGTGGAGGCAGCCACGCTTTACAATTTTTAGCCCATTTTGAATTTTTTAAAAATTTCAAAAATATGTTTTAATTGTTCTAAGTGTAAACAAGTTACCTGCACATTTTTGTAACAAGTGAACTTTCAAGAATTTCGCGACCCCGGTTCCCTCCCTCTTTACGCCATTGCTATCGTGCTATTACTGTACCGCTTCCAAAATCCGGATTGCTCTGGCTCTAGCTCTGCCTAGGTGTTCGGAAACATGTGTCAAAATTCCATGAAAATTCGTCGAAACCAATAAAGTCGGAAAAACCTTTCGCTCGTCTTGCCTTAAATGCTTTAGTGGTGGATTCAAAGCAATAATTGGTTATTGTTGATATATCCATAGAAAGATTTTTCGCATTCTTGCTAATGAAACCCTGTTGCATCAGAAGAGTACTGAACTACTCTTTGGTCTTCTTTGAAAATTGGTTAGAGTTGATTCTAGAAAAGTGCAGATTCTTTTGTATATTCTTGTAGTACAGTGTCCTTTTCCGTTTGTTTCTCGAAGAATACTACATAGCTGGCTATCTGATTCTTGATCTAAATGTTCTGTAGACCTGCAAAATGCTAATCACACCCTGCTAAAGCGTTTGAGATAATCTAGAGATATTCTTTGCACTTCTTTCATTGAGAGAGTGCATGCCCTTAGGTGCATTTCAATTTTGTGCGAGCATCGTCCATGCATCAGCTGCTGCAGCGATAATAGATGAGACAAACTCTGCAAGTTGGAAGTTACATTGATTGCAAAATTACAAACACAGTACCAGAGACTGCTTCCATTTGCAAAAATTGCTCTTAGATCCACCAAACCTTTCCAGCACAAAAGAGAGAGCATTCATTTTACTAGTCTTGGCGTTCATTCCGGTATAAAAGCATGTAAATCACAGCTACTGCAGAGGAAGAAAATGCTTCTAGTAGCAAGCTTGGTTCTGGTGAGTCGCCATTGAGTATCAGCGTTCGCACAGAGATATTATTACAGCTGCCATCGTTTTTGGCTGCTTCTGATCAACAGCCTGCTCCCGATCAAGAACCGTCGGATCTCTTAGGAGCTTGTAGCGTAGAGAAGGGCAACTGTAAACCTGAACCATACGATGAATTTTGGGATCCAGTCATGGTAGCGCTGAGAAATTTCTTGGTCAGTTCAGATGTGAATTTTGAAAATTTGCTGAGTCACATGTAGCTTTCTTGCTTTCGTGATGAGAGCGTATATGAGACAAAGCTTGCCATGATGGTTTTGACATTAGAAACAGAAAAAAGATTTGGTTTAAACCTAACCGATTGGTAGTTGAGTACTTCATCGTCAATGTTTAGGAAAAACCCGACTTATGTTTCTCTTGTGACTTGGGGAAGGGTGCGCAGGAGTTAGCAGAGGATGCGGAAGTCGTCGGTTACGAAGAAAACCCAAGACTCGAGTTTTCACTGTACTATTATTCTGGAGGAAGGTAGGAAATTTTTGTGCACAGATACTTCCCTACCATCGCATCTTATTTTAGCGAGAGTGTGAAACCTGAGAGTGTGATTACAGGACTAAATATGTCTAGCGGCAATCAAGAAGTAATCTCAAAGGTCAGTTAACTATGTGTGCACATAAGCACTCTAACTTAGAAACGCATATCGGACTAATGAGTGATGGAAGAAGTCGCAATCTTCTATTCTTAGGCAACTCAAATTTCACTCACAAGAGGATGCTTTGCAACCTGACACACTGATATGCAATGTATATCATGAAAAGCATCTCAAAGGCAGTGTTCATGCAAACTTGAGCGCATGGGTTTTTCGCCTAGAGATTGATGAGGGAGTCTAACTAGGGCAATGCCCAAGGGGCAGCACAAATTGCTCACTGCTGAGAAGTCCGTCACCGAGACCTCCGCGCCTGCGCCATGACCGTAACCCAAAAACGACTTTTCTCACTTTTACATTACGTTCGCGCTAGGACGGTTGTAGGTTCGTTCGGTTCATAGGTCAAACCACTACACTGTCCAACACCAAAGGCGGTGAACCAAATGAACCTGTTCAACAGGATAAGTCTGGCACCTACCTGAATCGTTGGACGCACATCTGATGTGCGCGGCGCAATGGCCGTACGCACGTCCGCTCTCGCGATCCTGGCCCCTATATGAACATTCACAGTCGCGTGGCCATATCTCGCTTTAGAGTGGACGAATTCTGCATCTAAAGCCACCATTTGACTCAGCTCGGCGCGGCGCATCTTCTGATGCACAGAATTGTTTACTTAGACACATTATGAGGTCAGACATCGCGAATCATCCCATATCGCTTGGTAGGTTGAGTGCAATGGCTAAGCACACTGAGTAACCTACCGTAAGCAAGAATTCGAAACGATTCGTTGAATTTGGCCTCCTACTGCGTCCAAGCAGGCACCTCTATATATCAGAAGGTGCGCCGCGCCGAGCGGAGTCGAATGGGGCTTTAAATGCAGAATTCGTCCACTCTGAAGCGAGATATGGCCATGCGACGATGATGTTCCTACACGATGCGACATTCGCGCCTTTTTTCAAAAAACGTGAGCGGTATTGTAGTTATATGTTCGAGTTCGCTCGATTTTTAATTCTTGCAAAAGATATTATCTGTAAACTAAAACTGAAAGACTTCCTTCACAGATCCATATATAGCCCCCATCGACCCTTCGACACCCTCTAAAACATGGCACGTAACAAGCATAAAAAGCGAAAAATTCCAAGTAACCTAATAATAAAAAAATGCAGTTTCCTCGCAAGTTGTTTCCAACATGCTGTTTCAGAACAAGATTCCAGTTTCTTAGAAAACTATTCACCTCCCCTAAAAGCACTCTTCCTCTAGCTTAACAGTAGTGCTTTCGTTCTAACAGTTGGGTTTTTTCGAAATCCGGCACCTTTGAAATAGAAAAATCGTGAAATATTTTCTTTTCAAACTCTTTGCTCCTATTCCGCTGCAAAAAATTGGATTTTTCTGCAAACTGGCAAAATGTTATTTGTGCTGTTCCTGTGGTGAGTTGTGCTGCGAAGTGCACACTAGAGCAAGTTTTCCAGAAGCTCTCAGCACTGAGAAACTGCAACTCAATAGACGATCGCTGCGATTATTCCTCAGCATAAAACAATTGAGAGTAAGCATTTGTAAAGATTTCGTTGCAGACAGAAAGAGTGGATGTAGGACATTTTATTACACAATAGATAGACCGGAATCTTTTTTTTTGGCGACGGGAATAAGACAAAAAATAAGACAGTGTTCCGCCTTTTTCAAAGTGATCCAGAAAGATGGAAGACTCAAATTCCTATCGAGCCCAACATTGCTACACAATTGACTATTGTCTACACATACAGGAAAGTTTATGTTATGCTATCACTTGTGAAGTAAATTACGGTATCTGAAGCTGGAGGACTTTTCAGAATCTTGACAATTTTCGGTCTATGAATTTTTCCTCTGAGACTGCAAAGTTAGTACTGCTTACTAAATTGCCAAAAACTTGCTGATCGGTGATTGCAAGCCAACTATTTTAGTAAAAAGTATATTAAACTCAGGATTTGGAAAATTGATTCTGTTACAACCTATTAGCAAAAAAAGCAATGGAAGTAATGCTGAGTAGGGAGAACAAGAAAAAATGGCTAACTCATCTTTAGAAATTTAGCGTGTTTCAAAATGACCACTTCATTCAGGTAGCCCAATATTTGAAAACTCGGGCCCCTAAAGCCTGCTAACAGGTTCATCTGGCATGCTAAATGCGGAAATGATGCTCGCTGTGCTTGGTTCCCTTTACCTGCTTACGGTAGGATTACGGTAGGATCGAGGCCCGGCGCAAGGCGACTAAAGACGGGATGGACTTCGTTTCTGGGACAAGAAGCAGAGAGTATAGCGATTTTGCGGGGTTCGGGGCGAAATTTTGGAAGAAAACTATGTTATTTAAATTGTTCAAAAGTTGTTGGGTAAAGGCTTTGGCCGTACTTTGCCAATGTTATCCATGTTACCGGTGCTATCAGTGTTACACGTGTTACTCGTGTTTCTAATGTTATTCGCGTTATTAGTGTCACTCTGTTACTCACCAGCAGGGTAAAGCGGGGGGTGCGGCACTCGACCGTCGGATACGACCCCCCCCCCCTGATTGCTGTCTTAATAAGACCCCCCTCCTAAACTATACACTTAAGATAGTATTACCTGAAGGCTCTGTCAAACATAATGGACAACATATCCATAATTAGCACGTCAATTAACCCCTGTAAATTCCAACATGGTTAACTTTGTTTTAAAGGTGAATTAGCTATCCGTTTTTGCACTCAAGACAAAGCACTACTCCTTCTTTGTCCACCTCAGGAATCCCGCTTCAGAAGACCTCCAAACTGTGGAATTAGAAGCCAACCAAAATCTCATTTTTCCCATTTTTCGCTTTTGATGGCTGTGCTTTCACCAAATATTACTCAGAGCTAAGAAGACGAATCAGGCTCAAAACATCCCTATGGAATCTACGAGGTTTAGGCTATCGATTCATATAAATATTGTCCGCTAAAAATGTTTTTTTGATATAGTTAATGGCCTGCGGCACCCCTGCGGCACCCCCCCTCAAAACCTGCGGCTGCCGCAGGGGTGCCGCAGGGGTGCCGCAGGCCATTAACTATATCAAAAAAACATTTTTAGCGGACAATATTTATATGAATCGATAGCCTAAACCTCGTAGATTCCATAGGGATGTTTTGAGCCTGATTCGTCTTCTTAGCTCTGAGTAATATTTGGTGAAAGCACAGCCATCAAAAGCGAAAAATGGGAAAAATGAGATTTTGGTTGGCTTCTAATTCCACAGTTTGGAGGTCTTCTGAAGCGGGATTCCTGAGGTGGACAAAGAAGGAGTAGTGCTTTGTCTTGAGTGCAAAAACGGATAGCTAATTCACCTTTAAAACAAAGTTAACCATGTTGGAATTTGACCATTTCACTTAGGTAGCCTAGTATCTTGAATCTTCAGAATTCGCTCACACTTTGTCTACAGGGGTTAATTGACGTGCTAATTATGGATATGATACGAATATCATGTTATCGCTATAATCAGATCACCTTACTACGACCCCCTCCCCTTTTGACTCCTCAATACGACCCCCCCTCTGCGGCGTGCCGCACCCCCCGCTTTACCCTGCTCACCAGTCAATGAGATCGCGTACTAAATGAGAGTGTATATGTGATTATTTCACTACACAACAGTAATAAAAGCGGTAACACTAGTAACACAGTAGCACTGGTAACACCGGTAACACGGGTAAAATATAGCCAAAGCCTAAGCGATCATTCAGTCGAACACAAACTTTGTGGACAGGTTATCACACGATTGCCAGTCTCGGGTAACATGCGGAAAGCGCGGCGATTTGATATCGATAGTTTCAAAAACTTGTGTGATGTAGAGATGAGTACGTCTCCAGACAGCCACTATACGATTTGGAATTCTGCGAGCATATATTCATGAAACTTTCAAATTTTGTTTTTCTGATCATAAACGGACGGCCGTCAAGAATCTCATTTGGCATTGTTGAACATCTGCCCCAACGGCAACCTTTCATTTTTAGCTCGCCTCAGTTCAATTTTGCTTTTGGGGTGAGCGAGTACGCACTCACTATTGGCTCATAGTATATTAGAAAAATTCGAAATTATTCCGAATAATCGAATACCGAATAATGTTCGGAACAGAAAATTTTGAATATTCGATTATCGAAAAATATTCGAAAAACTAAATTTTCGAATATTCGATCTTTCGAATAAATTCGAATACATTGGATGTCAATGAGATGACGCCTATAGGACTAAAACATCTAACAATAAGTTGTTTCATACAAATAATTAGAATAGAATTTTAGTTTAGAATTAGAATTAGACTTTTTATGTTACAAGCTATGATGGGAGAACGGTTTCGTTCTGAGTACCTAAAGCGTACTTTTGACGGTTGTGAAGAAATTTTAGAGTTTCAAAGATTCCATTTGTGGATCCCTAATTAGTGAAATCGAGCAGCTTTTGCTATAGAAAGACGGATCTTCTTGCATACTGTTCAGCCTACCGCACGAGACCATTCAAATAACCCCCATTCAATGTTGTGGATCAATATACAGGATGATCAAAAGTATATAGACACGATTTGATCGTTTATTTTCCCCTCATATTCTTCGATAGTTGAGATTTTAGAATATTCCACCATCAAATAATATTCGAAATCTTAGATTTTCGAATGTTCGATTTTTCGAGTCATTCACAATAAAATGATTTTACTCGAATAATCGAATAACTATGCGATACGGTCCAATAATAATATAGTACCCAGAATGTCCTTGAAAGCCCTCAATGCAGGTTGGAAATGCTCTCGAGTGTTGAAGTAAACAGGTAAAGTTTTGTCGACTCTGTTGAGTCTTCTACCTGAGTATTACATTTTTTATCTTTTCAATTTGATTGTGTTTTGTTGAATTGCAAGAGTACCACAGTGAAGCATAGAGTGCTGCATTATTCCTGTCATACTTACTTACAACTAGCTGGCATACCCGGCTCCGCCGTATGTTCCGAATAGAAAATTCCTTTTCTTAACCGATCCGAACCAAACTTGGCACACATACACT